CATATCGACGGGTTGTGGAGGCAGCGGCTGTTGGTTGTTCCGTGGTCCCGGCTGTTCCAGTAGGTATTGCTACCTCCGGTGCCGCGGCCACAGTGAGGAGCGGGCTCGCGTTCCCCTTCTGTTGTGGGACCGGTATCAGTTCTGGTGGGTCGGTAATGGGGTAGTGGGTGGTGCTTGTTTTTCCAGGTGGTGCTGTTGGGAGGACTGTTGTTTAGCGCGGTGGTCCCGCATCCGCTGCTGGTTCCGGCGTTGATGGGCATTCTGCAGGGCCGGAGCGGATGTTGAAGTTGTGGCGGCGGCATTTGGCGTCCATGTGGCCGTTGTTGGCCTGGTGTTTTTCGACCTTGGTGCCGGTACCGGCGACTGTATCAGTGGCCTAATCGGTCTTGTCGTGGTCGCCGGTCGTGCCGTACCTACCGGTCGGGATGCCTATCTGGGGCTCTGCGACCTGTTCAAGTGGATCGCTGTCATGGGATCGCTGCTCGCCGCCCTTTGGAAGACGGCCGTGCGGTCTTCCCAGCCTCGCGTGTAGATGGCCCACAACACCGGATCGCGCTGCAGCTGTGCCTTCGTCATTCGCCGTGACCATCCCGTCATCAAAGTACGATGTTATCAGGACAACACCGGAACACGCCCAAGATATCAGCGACTGATAACACGCGCGCGCACACACACATGCGTATACAAACACGTCAAACCCCTCGGACCACGGAACGAGGTGCCCCACGACACGCTGAGGTCATTGTAAAAAGCGAAGTGAACACCAGACTAAATAATTAAGCTATAAAGGCATTGTCACACGTCTCTTCTTGGAAAAAAGTCTCTGTTATTAAGAAAGGATGTGAATCGACCAGAATAACCAATTATGCCAGGAGACTCAAACTCTGCCTTGTGCCAGATTTCACCACCACGTACTACCACCTACTCCTACGGATACGAGCATATATAAAGGAGACCACGACAAGAGCTCGTCAGACGGTTAGGGACATTTAAGACGCTTAGAGGCAGGTCGTAGAACCACTCATTGTCATTTAAAACAATATTTCAGAGTAARGTCGTAACACCGCTCACCAACACCTTAATAGCATATAAACTGTATTTTTGTATCAAGTTCTAATAAATCGTGAAAATAAAGACATTATTACATTTTATACATAAGTATTTCATCTCTACGTTGATGTATGAATCGACGTTCAGCCGGGACGTAACAACCCGAACAGCTAATCTGCACTGCTCACACAGTTAAATTGCTACTAGTGATGTCGCTTAGATTACTGACTTATATTATAATAAAATTGCGAAGTCTGTGTTTGGTAAATCAAATGCATTTTGGAATATTCTTAGGAGAAGTTCGGTTGCTTCGGACAAAATATATGAGATTTGTAATTCAAAGTTTCCTGTACCAATTACCCGTTGGAATTCAACGTATTTTGCAGTAAAATAAAGTGGTCGCCTGTACAGAAAAATTATTAGTCGCATTTGAAGAATTAAAATTAAATAAATTGAAACACTCAGAGTGGACATTTCTAGATGAATATTGTATGATTATGGAGCCTTTAGCGATCTCTCTTCTCCTATTTCAAGGGGAAAAAAATTGTTTTTTAGGATATGTTGCCCCCACTATTAATTCTCTGAGGCTTACATTAATTCAATCAACTCGTTTGGTTTATTGCAAACCATTGGTTTTTTCAATTATTCATAGTCTTGAGGAACGATTTAAATATATTTTTGATTTAACGCTTACTAAAAGTAAGCCATTTATTTTGTCAGCCATCAGTCACCCAAAATTTAAGCTATCCTGGGTGCCAGTCAGATATTTAGCTGTTTGCAAAAAATTATTTATTATTGAATGTAACATACTATATTCAATTTAAAATAGAACTGATGAAAATGGCTCTGATAATAATGAGAACAGTGACCATGAATTTTATCAAATCCTTAGTGGAGATGATAATTCACTTGAAAATCAATTTTCTTTTAAAAAGTCAATTAATACTCCTAAAAATACAAATCTTGCAAATGTTCAAGCACTTTCATATTTAGATACAAAAAAAAAAAAGAATTAGAAATTTTAAATAACCTATAAATTCTTAAAAAAGTTTTTTTTAAATATAATACTTCATTACCAACATCTGCCCCTGTTGAGAGGTTATTTAGTAGTGGTTCACAAATTTTAATTCCCAGGAGAAATCTTCTTAGTGATGACACTTTTGAAATGTTATTATGCAGCAGGTGCTTTGGTAAATAATTTAAACTAAGATTAAAAAATATTATTTAACAATAAATTAGGTAAGTACGAAAGCTTATAATTTTTTTTATTATGTTTATTATTACAAAATTGTATACTTATTTTTGTTATTATTCATTGTTATTTTTGTAATTTAAGCAGAAAAAAATATTCTATGGTTGTCTTTGAATTTAATTTTGAAAAAAAAAAACGTATTAGACATTTTGATATACATGTACATATTATTATTATTATATATCATTTTTTTTTCATTTTTTAATTAAGTATCAAGTATCATTATATTATATAGTAGTAGGTATAACTAGTATATTAAGAATACTGATTAATCCGGGGTTGGTAAGTTGAGTCCCGGAAAAAATAAGGTAGTAGGTAATTTGAGTCCCAGGGAAAAACAATTTATATGCATTTAAAATTTAAAAATATGCACTATACAATTTTTATTTGTGATTTGTGGACATTCATTGACTGCATATATATGATTTTGAATATAGAAACATGCATTTTTATATATTATATAATTATTTTTTATGCAATAAAAATGCATGTTGCTATTTTCAAAATCATATAGGTGACATGCAGTCATTCCACAAATCACAAATAAAAATTTTAAATGCATATTAATCGTTTTTCCCTGGGACTCAAATTACCTACTACTTTATTTTTTCCGGGACTCAACTTACCTACTACTAATTTTTCTCCGGGACTCAATTTACCGTTTTCAAAACGTACCAAACTTATCTCGGACACAATTTACCTAGCCCCGATTAATCGTATAATCGTATACAAAATTATTACAATAAAGACATTTATATTATTGGTTATTATTGAGCCTTCATAGATATTTAATTATTACGAATATAAAATATTGGTACCTACTTCAAACCAACAAATACATTTTTTTTAGATATCTATTTTTATCTAGTTAAAATGTATTCACCTTTTATATTCATCTAGATATTAAAATTTTTTTTTATCTTTTATCTTAATCTAGATAAATTCATTCATATTATCTTTCATCTTTATCTAGATAAATAGTGGAAGTATTTGATCCCAAGGTAAATAGTGTTCAATTGACTTTTTTGTTGCATTATAAAACCTAAAGCACCTCTGATTTCTGGTTCTTCAAATCTAAATGAGGAATAGGGATAATGGTTGTTGCTTGTTAACTAAAATGTATATATTTTAATGTTAATAAAATAAATTAAATGTTCATGTATATATTGTAGTAATCATACAAATTCAATGCAAGGGGTAAATTATGAAGTATAGGTAAGGTAAATTATGTTAGTGTTGGTTTTTTTGTCAGTCAAGCAATTTTATACCAAGTATCTGGAAATGATTAAAATATACAGTTTGGTTATTTTATATTCATAAACATTGATGTAAATAGTAATTAATTATTATTACAAAATAGTAATTAATAGTAATTAACTCATGTTTCAACAAAGGGTAGGTTAGGCTTTTCTTTTTCTTATTTTTGCCTACATAATAGGTATGTAATATATTAGTGTTACGTTTTAATGTGTATTTGTGTACACAATTTTTTTTTAGATACACAGACACAGAGCTCCTTGACCACTCATTGAAGTTTAAAATTTATACGTTTGAACACAATTTTAAAAATGGAAGGTATGTTCATACATAGTTTTAGATTCTGTACATTACGTTTTGAACGTTTGAATGTTTTTTTACTTATCTTAAGAAATACATTTTTTTWAAGTATACATTTTCAATTTCAGAGTTAAATGAATTTATAGTCATGGCATCTAGAGTCACCACTGCTATCCAAGAAGAATGTAGGTGGAGTATACATAATTCCAAGACATTGATAGATTTATAYGGTAAATATAGGGAAAAAGTTGGAACAATGAAAATTAGAAGTTTAAAACAAATGTGGGCAATAATTTCCGACGAAATGAGTCAAACATATAAAATGAAAATTAATCCGAATAACTGTGAAAATCGATGGCGCGTTTTGGAAAGAAATTATAAAAAGTATGTCGAAAACAAAAATAGTACAGGACGAGGAAAGAGATATTTTGAATTCAGCGAAGAAATGGACCAGATATTTGCACATAAAAAAAATGTCCACCCTGAAATTTTACTATCCTCTGAGGAGGTTCATGATGTTCTTAATTTTTCCGAACAAGATGTTTGTCCAACTCAAGGACCTTCTGTTCCATCAACCTCAAAAAAGGACACAAATGAAAACATTATTATTTATCAAGAAGAAGTTACTAAAAAAAAAAATTTAAGAAAGAAAATTAGCACAATTGAAAAAATTAGACAAGATAGATTAAATTACCAACAAAAAAGATTAGAAATAGAAAATGAAAAATTACAACTACTTAAAAATAGGAATGAGCTCATTAAGGAAAGGAATGTGATATTGCAATCACAATGTTGTTGCAAAAAAAACAATACTTCATATGACTACTCAATTGTTGGATGCGATAAGACTGCAGTAATGGAAAGCGATGATCACGATATTATTCTTCAGATGTAATCAAAGCATACATTAAAAAGTTGTACAGTGTGTGAATATTTTTATGAAAAAGTTAAGATTTAATTTTGTTATGTTTTAAAATTTAAATCTATTKTACTATACATAAGTAAACACACAACTTTTAACTTACCAACCTCCTCCACTAATTATGGTTTAAAAAATAAAATAAAATATAATATAATAGATAGGTATGTATATTGTATATAAATATATTTACATAACTAAACGTAACTTAAATTTAAACTCTTAACTACTATAATTAAATAAAAGTGCATCTACTATTCTGTCCCTAATCCTTTTGGCATCTTGGTCTTCCTCAATATCCTCTTCCTCCAAAATGCCTTGGTTTTGTGGTACAGCTTGTATTYGTGCGTTTGATGCAGAGAAATCTTCTAAAATTTCTTCGAGGAATTCATCATCAATGGCAATGTTGTGTAACACACAACACGCTCGCATAAAATGAACAATTTTAGTGATGTTTCTGAATTTTATGTGATAAAACTGTCTAAATTTTTGCTTCAAAATTCCAAAGCAGTGTTCAATGCGATATCTGTTTTTGCTCAACTTTAAATTATAATTAAATTGCTTCCTTGTTAACTGCTCTCGGTCCTTGAATGGGGTCATCAATCGCGTTTGTAATGGATACCCACTTTCACCGAGCAAGAAATATGGACCACATTTTTCTTCCAAAGTATTGCAGACTGGTGAATTCCTGAATTCCCTACTATCGTGTACGGACCCAGGATAACCGGCAAAAAAATCAATGATTTTGCGGTTATGGTCACAGACAACCTGCATCTGTATTGAATAATATCCCTTTCTATTTATGCATGAATCTGGATCATTATCAGGTTTATCTCAGAGCATTAGCTCTGAATGAAATCTCTGATTCTCGTTTTTCTTCATCGTTAGGCCATTTGATTATTTGTGGTGAATAGTTGCTCAAAAAGTATGTATTCCGTTCAATAATTCTATGCAGAGAACTTAGTGTAATATTGAAACGGTCTGCAACATCACGGAAGCTTGCAGTTTGGTGCCCAACAAACCACATAAATATAAGAACCTAAAATCAATAAATGGTAAAGTGGTAGATGCATTGTGTGAACTGTTAATATTATATTAAATGCTAGCTAATACCATTGAGTATATCTTTGGTCCCAGGTAAAAAGGGCTTAAGTCAATTTTTCACAAAAATGTTTTTTTCCGTAGATTTAATCTTCCTAACCTAACCGTTCTTATCAAGCCAATTTTGATTAACTGTAACAAAACTTGTCTCTGGCACTTTATACAAGTAATTGAGGTTTGATTTTTACTAAAATAACCATATCATCAGCAAAGTAGATTAATTTGGATTAATTCACTCAGTGTACACTGGTTGAGAATTCCATCGATATACATATGAGGCACCTAGAACACAATGGGTATAAGTGACATTATTTGTATTTCGTAATTATCAGGTTCAAAGTTAACACATTCTCTCAAATCGCAATAAAGGATGTTATTTAGTTTAATGATTAAATTGTTATCTGTACATATATAAAAGTTTATTTTATGTGATATTGTAAAGTTTGAACAAAAAATGTTTGATATAAGGACAATCGGTTGACCTTTGATCTCACTTATACCCCTTTACTACAAATGCACAATTTTGTATTATTCCTTTGAAGTAAAGAGGTATAAGTGAAACAAATATAAAAACTTAAGACTGCAGGTAATTAAATGTATAGAATTATAAAATTTATTAATATTAAATAATTACAATATTAGTATGCCAGTCTTAGACCATAGTTAAGAAATAAACAATTGTTTAAAGTTTAATAATAATAATAGGTAATGTTTTAATAATTACAAAATAAAAAATATAAAAATAACAAATTAATATTATAACACTATTAATCACAATATTAATTGCATGTCAGTCTTTGACCATATTATATTTTTTAAATATTTTCAATTTTCATCAGTGTCATACAAATTGCATAAATCTATCTCAGAAGCCTCAACATTATCTTCTGTTTGATCATCTTCTCTGGGAGCACCATTATTTTTAGTATTTATAGGATTATTAGTCAAGTTTTTAAAAAATTGATGATGAATTGGGGGTATGTACTGAATTTGATCTAGCAGGTCTTTTACCTTTGCTGCTTTTAGTACTGGTTTTACTTTTACAGAAGTTAAGTGTTTTGGAAATGGTTTCTGTCTCCCACGAAAATTTTGTCCCTTCATAGACATCTCACTGAACATCCCTAGCCCGTCAGCAGCACTATGTTTAAAATACAAAAGTAATATAGATGTACCATTCCTGGCGCACTTTTATTTTATCAGTAAAAGATCACAAAGAAAACAATGTGCAAAAAGATCAGACAATTGAAATGCAATATTTAAATATTAGAAAATATTGAAATGTGATATAAATAATAGAAATGGAAAATAATAACGATTGTGCATTTTTTAAACTGTTAGAAAATCAAATCAAAGGACGTGAAATACAATTATTTTAAGTATGTGTAACATTTTAATAATCGTCATTTTTTTAATAGAAATATTTCTATTAAAAATATCTTAATATATTATATTTAAATA